GGAGTTACATTCCTCCCATTCTCCTCCCCATTCCCCTGGGAGCATGGGGAGGAAGAAGCGGGGGGAGTGAGCAAGTGGCTGCGTGGTTCTGAGTTACTGGCTGGGCTTAAACCATGACACCTGCCCCCAGCAGTGGGGGTGGAACTAGATGATCTTAAGGTCCTTTCCAACCCTAACTATTCTATGATTCTATTCTGAACTATAACAATGGAGCTTTATAGAAAATATGGCCAAGAAAACATTATACTGGCCATTGTATGCCATATTAAATTATCTATTGTAAACCTCCTTTAATGTATCCTGCCAGCAATCATAATGAGTTTTCCCTCTGCTTATGTGAAATTTGACAGTCTTTCGAGCCCTGTAACATCTCTCATAGAAAAGCAATTAGATTAGTGCAGCCTGCTTTCTTCCGTAATGGAGGACAGGTACTTTTTTCCAGAGATTTCCTATATTGAACCAAACACACAGTATCTCAGTAAAAAATGTTTTCTATAAAACATGCAATCTAGCATTAATACCCTTCAGCATTTTGTTCCAATGCAACAAGACCAATACTGGAGAAGAAGTCTCTAAGCAAACCTAGGCAATAAGGGTCTGACACTATCCTCCCTGTGCTACTCTACTCGACTCTCAGGAAGACTCAAAAAGCACAACTTTATGGAACATGGAGGAATCTGTAATATCTTTGTTCTTAAAAAATAACGGAACGGTGAAAATAAGCTATTATGTGCTCACCTTAAGAAAATCGTGAACATCTTCATTATGAAAAGTTTTACTAAGGAGACTGCCTTGTTCAGCTTGCTGTCTGTGTTTGAACTCTTCTTTCTTCTTTGCACAACTCTCCAGTCGTTTCAAGACCAGGTCTTTGCTTTGCTGGATACATTCTGGAGCAGAAAACACTGATGATTAGATACCACAACTCCACAGGGAGAAAGTAGCATCTGCTACTGTCAAACAACATAAGCTCACAGAAATCTGTTAGTGAGTGAAATAGGCAAGTAATCACCATGGAGGACTTAAAATTTCAGTCTTACCCTGACAGTCTTTTTAGATGTGAACTTTTGGGTTGCTACATGGCACTTAACTTATCAGGTTTTTGGATCACTACCATCCTGCACCTCCCCTGTCACTGGTGCTGCTGCTAATGCAAAGGCAGTGTGTTAGTTCAAGAAACAGATTCCCACCTATGGCACCCCAAAATCCCCCCCTTCTGCTTCGGGAAGGTCCAGAAGTGGCTCACTACCTAATTGCAGATATGCAAATGTTGCTGCAAGGACAAAGGCAGTAACATGTGGTGGGGAGAAAAGGTCCAGAGCAGTGCTAGTTCGGATTTGCTTGAACTAGCATGCAGCCATACCAGGCTCCCAAAGTGACTTATACAAAAACCTGCAGAACAAGTTGTTAAGGTCCCTCTGATCTTGTGCTAGTACTGTGAAATATCTGGGACCAAGTTCTTCCCCTCTTCACCTCCCCTGTAGGCCCAAGTGATTTATAAATTCATGAGCCTATCTGGACCCTGTGCTGAAGAGTGGAATTGGTGCTTTCAATGTTCTGCGACTACTTTGTGTCTCACTGCCTGTCCACCTAAGAAGAACTTTATTTATTTCCCTCCCCTTGTCCTTCCCCAGACCAGTATTTCACCCCAACTCGGGCAGCTAAAGGGGAATGCAAAAGAACAGACCTCTGTGCCTGCTGTTCTGCCACCACATCATGCTGCTGTAACTATGAGAAATTATTTTGTGGAGAAATAAAGGAGTGCGCTATTATAGCACTGAGCAGTTTACTTATTCTCCACGCTACTTTATTGTGCTTATCCACAGGCTGATGATGCACTGACAAAACATTTGAAAGTGCACTGAAAGTACAAAAAACCTGTAATAAAAATGTCATCTGAACAAATGCAGCAACTGTTATTTTTAAACACTACTTGATTCTTTACTACTTCCTTGTTTGTTTCCTAGGAGCACAGTCTTGCTGGCTTTGTGTTCTGCTTACAAATTATAGGTACAGTTTAACTTCTGTATTTAGGATCTCATAAACAAGGTCAACACAGACTCTCACGTGAAAATGCTGCACTCCAGGTTATTTTTGGGTTTACTTTTCTAAGCATGTTTCATTTCCTGGGAACCAACCAGCTGTAGCTGACCCTGTTTGAGTAAGGGGGGGAAGAACCGTATGACCTCACTAGGTTCCTTCCAACCTCAACCATTCTGTGATTCTGTGAACTGATGACTGAGATAGGGCACAATTTATCAGCCTGAAGACTGAAAGTGACTGGGCAGCACTGCAGCTAGAATATACTGTGACAAGACTACATTCATTCTGACCATCTAGTTCACTGAACTCCAACCCTAATGCCATTTTGCCTATGCCCACAAGTAACAGAAATGGTTCTGGAAAATGTGCAAGAGTAAAAAACTCATCACTGTTTTCATTTTGACTGAACTATAATTTCCCATGAGTACTGATGGAAAGCACTGAGCCCTTGGTACAGCACCTATCAGAGAAGTTAGGGGTACATTTCTCAACATGCTGGGCATTAGGTAACATGCAAAGTGACACAGAGAGAACCTTAAATCAGTGGGTCATTCAGGTTAGACTATTATAATAGTATACCTAACAGATAGGCAATGTGAAGGGGTGTAAGAGGGAAAGACTTCATTTTAGAAGTATTTTTAGCCTCACACAGTAACAGACATGTTTATTTGAAGATTATTAGCCTTAAAATTATCTTTTCAGAAGAGTGATAACACAACAATGTTTTGTGGCTCCACATGCTAGCTGGAGATCGTAAGATAGTCTTCTGCACATATAGAGCTATTTCTGTCCCCAATGTTAGCCAGTATCACCAACAATGTCAAGTATCTGAGCAGTAAATGGAGAAATCTCACAGATAATTGTAACAAATGTGACTGTTCTTCAATCTTCAAATTAATATGGTATAGATTATGTGAACTGTAATTTCACAGTAATGCCTGGAACAAGACCTAAAAGGCTTAAAGCCAAAGTTCCCATTCTAAGCATTCACCCATCACAATAACAGTGTTTGCCAATTCATTAATACCTTTTTAAAACAGGAGTATAGGGCTGAAGCTATAATACACTAATGAGAACTTATACCCATATTTTTTAAGTCATGATCTCTGGTCTAAGTACTCACCATTACTGAAATGTGCCAACTGCTCCCAAAAGGACTTGTGCAGATCCGTTAAAAGTTCTTCCTTTTGTCGGACTGAGAGATTATTCTTTACAGTTAAATGGTCCAGAATATTGGATATAATATTTAATCTACACTTACATTCTTCTGGTATATAGGACTTCAGTGAATCAATCATTTTCACTGTAAGCTCCCAGTTGAATAACCTTTCCTGAATGTCCTAAAACAAACATTAAAAAGTCCTGTTTAGAAACCAAGAATGGGCCTTCAGTTGTGCTTGTCCTTTCATTGAAATTTTCATTCACAAACTACACAGAAAACTAAGGAGGCTTCTCAAGACCGTGTATTCAACAATCTTCCTGTACTTAAATACTTCTGAAAATCTGAAGTGGTGTAGGATAATAGTGGGTTTATTGCATGCTCAGTTACAAGAGCTAATCTAAAACTACTGCTGTTCTTCATAGAAAAAGAAAGCTGTCAAGAAAGACATTAAGGCAGGAAAAGACTTGCAGAACAAAGTTGAATACAGAAGGGGGAAAGATGGACAGAAGGGCAACATGGAAGGCCTGGACTTCTTTTTGAGATACTATATGGCACACCAGTATGTGCCTTCATTTTGAAATGGGGACATACCTAATTTTGATACCGATGGTATCCCTTCAACTATGTGGTCAGCTGGAGTTCAGTAAATATACTAAAAATTAGTATAATTGCCTACGACCTAGCAGCTGGCATTGCACTATTAGAGGAGAGTTATCAGGGTTACAGTAGGAAACAAGATTTCCTGCGTGAAATTGCAACTGCTTTAGACAATGTTGCGAGGTTGGAAAGTGTATGACACCTACTGCAGATAATGGAGACACACATATGATGACCTGTACAATGAGACGCAAGCACCACAGCAGTGACTTCCGGCAGGAGTATTTCCTGTATCTGTATCCAAACATCTCATCTGAAGTCTGCCCATCTGAAGGAACTTACTGTACAGTAGCCTTGTACGGGTGAAGCGTGATCAGCTGCAAATACTATTTTCATACCTTGCCAGCTTAGTTTATTTAGCTGCTTCAATGCAAAACTAACAAGCTAATAATTACTGTATCTGTTTATTAGTAAACCAAACAAAGCTAGCTATCCATTTATTCTTCAAATTAATGCAGTGGGCCAAACTCTGATTGTAATGTTAATCTACAAATTAACTCTTCCAGGAAGTCCTGTGCAAAGCAAATAAAGGACGTTAAGATTTTAAACAACATAAAGCACAGTGCTGATGCATTTATAAACACTTTTTTCCCTCTTAAGACTGTGTCACTAAGAGATGCTAAGGCTTTTCAATTCCAGTTGAAGTCATAAGACACAGAGTCACACAGAGATTTCTCAGTGTAACAAGAATAAACACTTTGAAACAAAAAGAAATGTCCTAATAATGTAACAATTCTCCTTCATGATTAGATCTAGTGCTCTTGCTCCTGGCACACTGGCTGCATTAGTATCACTTTTTCCTAACATGACTACCTCAACACTATTTTGAGAAAGATAACTCAGGTGCAGAGTTCATCCTTGTGTGCGTCTTCATAAACTGCAATGGAAGTTGAGCTCTTTATAACAAAACTGAAAGAGCCAACTGAAATAAGCAGTCTACATCCTTTCCGAGGAAGGACTGACAAAATCTGTACAATCATTCTTTGTGTTCAGATTGACTAAATCTCTCTCAACATTTATTTCTTTTTGTACTTTACCATTGCCTGCAAATCTTGAGATTCACTTAATAAGCCTTCTACTACAATCATCTTCTCCGTCAGATCCACCATTATCTTTGCTGCTTTGGCACTTGAGCATTTCGATTCATCCAAAAAAGCCTGCTGGGCTTTGTCAGTCTGTTTCCAGAAAGTTTCCATCTGTGGAATATGAATCAAAAAAAATCAATGTTTCCTTACCAATCGCTAGCATTTTATTACAGCAAGAGGTATGTAAGTCTACTGAGACAGGAGTCACTGAGACTACAGTCAGCTTTCAGAATTAGTGAATATTTTGCAAAGCTAAAGAGCCTATTTACTACATGATGATAAACATATTGGTGGCACATAGCCAGTAGGTCAACTCTGACCTTTTTTAATGTATTCACCTGGTGTAACTTCCTAAGAATTTTTTGTTAGTTCTCCAAATATTGCATCTATAAAAGCCAAGCATGTTGTTAGTATTAATGGGAAAAGAAAAAGGACATAAACTGCAGCCCCTTTTTCTGTTAAGTCTGTTTAGCTACAGAAGCAGACATCCCAGTCAAACAAGATTTTTGCTAGAAATGGAAAACCAAAAATTGTCACAGTTTTTCACAGTCAAAGTCTTTCAGAGCCACATGCTACACAAGGACTTTACTACCTGTACTGGAGTTAAGTACTTTATGCAGTATCAACGCAGTAGATGTGCCAATTCTGATATATATTATCATATAGGTAATCTCTAGTTTTAAGCTCCAATCCCACAAACACGACTGTGCAAAACTGTGAATATTCTGTGGTCTTCAGTGGGATTACCAGTACACAAAAAGGTAAGAGATTGTATTCATCACCAAGATTTGTATGAAGTATCTGTGAGTTTTTGGAATAAAGTATGACTATAGCATCTGTAAGTATGGCAAAAAAAATCTTTACATTACTGAGGGAAGAGTGGAATAGTTCAAGGTCTTGACCTATTTGAATCTGTGTACAGGGAAATAATTTTCAATATGGATGAAAAGCATCTGCTGGCTTATGAATGCCAGGCCCACTGAAGGATGACTGCTGCTGGTGAATAACTGCCTCATGTTGCTCAGCAAGGCTGCCGGTGCTTTTTTTTATGAAACTAACTCTGGAGGACTCTAAACAATCAATCTTTCATAGAGCAAAGTTAAATTGCAAAAGAAACTTGACACAGATGTACCCTCTTTACCAGGACTTCCACTACAAAGTGAAAGGCACAGAGAATCAAGAGAAAGCTGAGAAAATTCCCAGTGAAGCACTGAACCACTAGATACTAAAAAAATACTAGCTCCTCTATATAAGAAGCCCAAGGTTGAGATGATGGGCTGTTTAGTTCAGGGCTGAAGTGCCACAGTCAATCAAGCACAGGCAGCTCACAGAGCCATCAGTCTGACTAGTCAGTCTTCCATTTTCATCAGCAGTAAATTCGCACAAACCTCAAAAACAGGACTGAGAACTAGAACACCTGCCAGATGACTCAGTTTACTGGAAAAAATACACAGAGTATTTTTAACCTCCAGTTCTCTAGCCTGCAAGCTATTGGATGTAGTGACACTACTGATGAGAAAAAAATGCTTGCTATCAAACTGTATTTTTACATCAACAATGACGTAAATGTATTCTAATGTGCAAAGGTGCTAAAGAAAAATGTTTTGCTAAAGTGAATGTGCAAAACACACTAAAAGGTAGTACAGTAATTATTTTCTTAGTACCTATTTTAGCTGAAAGAATTTTATACTCTATTACTCTCAGTTATGGAGGAATGAAGAAAACAAAGTGTTAGGACTAAAGTCCTAAAAGTCAGGCTATATTCAGGCTTAAAATAAATCTTTACCATCGGACAAGCAACAGACACTTCTCAGCTCTAAAACCAGTGTGATAAACCAGGGTTTTTTATAAAAAACGTATTGGTTCCCAAAGGGAGTTGGAAATACTTTTCTGGAGCAATGTAAAAATGCTTTCAGGACTCACACACATCTAAACTACAGTGAACTAGCCAACAGTTAAAAAAAATAAACAAGCATTTCCCATCAAAGAATTAGATTAAACTTCAGAAAAAAAATAGGAAGTTACATTATCTATTATGTGTTCAGAATATTCCCTTTCTTTCCTTTCTAAGTCTTCTAAAGTCTGGTACTCTGAATTATGGGCTCCTGACATCTCAGTATTCTGGAGTCGAGAGTCAAGCTGTCTCTGTAATTCTTCAAAACCCTGGGGGAAAAAAGCAAGTGATATGTTATAAAGAAAAAACAGACATAACTTCTAAATTCAGGAGTGAATTTGTATGTCAGTTCTGACTTGTGCCTAGGGAAGCTGACCAAAAGCATTCAGAAAGTTCTGTCTCCAGGTAATGCACCTTCTGCAGCGAGCAGAGAAAAATCAAGGTACATAGAAGTGCACTTAAACATACGGCATACATCAAGGAACTGCACTTAATATATACATTTCCACTACTGTGTGAGTACAATCAAGACTGTTGTCCATTTCCACTGAATTCAAGTTTTAGTAAACACTGCTCCACAAGCTTTCATACTAATAATCCTTTGAATCTATTCACATGTATTTTATTTTAATGCATACGCCCCATCTTAAATGGCAGCTATGAGTGTACACGCTGTGTTGAAAACCACATATAGCATCGAGATATGATCATCAGATAGTGTTTTCTGCAGAGTGCTAGCACATACGGATTAACATACCTGTAACACTCATAAGGAACAAATTACAGGCTACCTGATTATATAGGGGTTTAAAATCCTTTGAAACCAGGACGATTCTTTTCTGAAAGCTAATGATACTGACAAATACTAGTCTTCTGCATTATCTACTAGGTTAGTACTGAAATGGATGATTCTTCAGTTGCTGAAACATGCCTTACATAACAAGTATTTACTTCTAATACCACCCACTTTTGGGTGTCAATATATTATCTTGATACCCTTATGCCTTAAAAGAAATGTGACCAGATTTTGACAAGCTTCTCAAACAATCTCATCAAAATCCCATGACTTCTTACAATGCAGAATTGAAAGAGGAAAATGCTGTCTGCAATGGATCATATAACCCTTCAAGTTTCCAACGCAGTATTAAGTAGTTTCCCGTGTTTGCTTACTACCAAGGTCTCTTTTACACAGTATTTTTATAACCGGCCTTACTCCTTACGCGCTATCCCAACTCTAATGCTGTCATGTTTCCAAGACCTTTCTCTTCATAGAATAGCACACAGGAATCCCATATTGACACTTAAACAACTGGAGTACTCAAGAAATTACTGCATCTAGTAAGATTTAGTCTTTGCCTTGCAGCATCTTAGTTAGATGTATGAAGATACTGGTGCCATCAAGCCCAACTGAGGGTTAGGCTATGCTGGGAAACATGCCTAATCTGTATTACCTCTTTGTTTATAATTTGAAGTCATTACCAGAAGGAAAAGGGATTTGCACACCAAATCTCATCTTTCATTTAGTAAGTACAATCAACTTTAATACTAAACTTGAGGATTTAAGGTAGAAGAACGTTTTTTAGGCAAAATGCATTCTGATATAAATTACAAGGTACAACTACAGAGATTCTTGATAATAATTCACAGATTATGAAACTGCACAAACAAAATAAATCTCAACAACTAATGTTTATAAGCTGACAGACTAATGCCTAAACGTGAAATTCCATCTGTATATAAGAAAAAAAATAATCATTACTGTGAAAAATTAGATGAGGCTCCTTAGTGAAATGGTGGAGTCTCCTTCAACCCAGGCTTTTCTGACTCTAATCTGGAAAATGGAACGTGGAACCAATAACTCTCCTATTTTGTTTAGTTTTGTAAAGCCTCTTTTTCTTTCTAATAATCTTAAAAATAGTATGGTCACTCCACCTCAAATGCAATTTGACTGTTGATGTATGTCTTCTAGTTCACAAGTGGCATATGGATTTTGATACAAGTATGTGGAAGAAAAAAGGACACTGAGGAAAATAAGTATATTTTCCCTTGATGAAAGCCTTGAGTTTCTTTCTGGTACTTTTATCCCCTCCTATTTTATTATCAGTAATGACACTTGGGACCAGACAAAGACCTGATAATTAGAGATTATTAAATCTGAATATAGTTCATAATGTCCTGTTTGCTTGAATGGATTCAACTACAAAATACTTTTCTCCTTAACAGATTACACCCGTCACCATTCTCATGACCTCATCTAATAAAAAAAAGGAAATGCACACAAGGTAATGGAGAGAATCAACCAACATGGGAGTTTCTTTGTATTTCTTCTGGAATAGATTACAAATGACACTGCTGTTAAAAGAAGCAGATGAGATAGCCTGTTATGGCAGCCTGCACCAACTGGTGAGATTACCTCTTATTTTCCGTGTTCTTAAATCACAACCAACAAAACCACTTACATTTTCTTGAATTAAAAGGATCTTCTTGAACAAATCATCAGTAATCTTCTTTTTATGATATAAGTCTGTGACATATATTTTGAGAATCTGAATAACCATCTAATTAAAAAGAAGGAAACAAAACCCAGGGTAAGTGCCTGTTCAACATCATAAGGACATTTTTGTGATAACTCTTGTTGATTTACATCAATCATCAGTGATACGACAGTGAATCATGAACAAAATAACAGAAGCATCACAAGCAAATCTGCCATACTTCCATTGTGAAAAATTCCTTGTCTTTGGCTTCAGTAAGATACTGGAAGATGGTGTTACATTCTAACAAGGACAAGGACATAATCTCATATAAACCTGTAGCCAGACCAACACATTTGAAATTATCCTTTATTGGAGAAAATGCAGATCACTTGAAAATATGATGTCTATTTTTCTAAAGTTTAATGAACCCCTGAAACTGAAAGATACTAACATATTCATTATAGATCATAGAATGATAGAATAGTTAGGGTTACTACGATTTCAACTGTAGCTGGCCAAATGGAGTATCAAACATTTTTATATACCACCAGAAAGTAACCATCTCAAGTTCTAGCTACCTCCTCTTACAAAAAACTACATCCATTTTCCAGCTGTGTGCCTTTTATATATATATATATTTTTTTTTTTTTTGTAAGACTGTAATACTAGTATCTTCAAAAAGATGTTTTTGAACACTGGGATAAATTTCTACTTAACCTTTTCTCTCCTGCCTCAGTTAAGAGTATCGGTGTAAAGACAATTCACTCCATCACTAACTGCCACAGCAATTTCCAACATGAAGATAAAAATATGTGAAATTTAACAGCCACCTGCCTGTTACTCATGTACTTGAAAACAGATGATGCAGAAGTTGCTCATTTAAACATATAAAAACATAAATAAAATCATATTTACATATAAAACCAGTTATCAAAGCCAACATTTCAGATGAGCAAAAGCTGGAAAATATGTTATAATTTGAGCTTAGTAGAAGAGAAAACTATAAGGCAGCTGTGTTTTGGATCACACTTGCCAATGTTTTGGATAGGAATTTGACAAGTCTGAGCATACACAACCAAGATAGCACATACTATAAAAAAGACAAAAACAAAATAAAGGATTCGGGAAAACACAGTAGGACATGTTTCCTTTTCCTAGACCTGGTGCTAAGAAAGACTGACTGAAATCAGAGAAAGCAAAGTGGAAAAGTAAGGAACTATTCTCTAGACTGATTTGTTTGGTTTTTTTTCCCTTTCCCCTGCTAGCAAAAATATAAAGCTATTGAAAGCGTCAGCTAAAGGTCAAAGTCATCTGCCTTTCGTGGTAATTTCTGGTGGGCCATGAAGTGTGTTAAATGTTCATTTTCTCACTGTTTCTGTGATTACATCACCATGTTGTGACTTGACCTTAGTTTACAAATTGATGATTAACTTTCAGATCATGTTCAACCTTCCCTGGTAAAACTAAACTTCTGGAATCTGATCTCAAGTTCCCTTTCTCATTTACTTAGATCGGAACAACTCATCAGAAGAGAAGCTGTGTTCCAGGTTTACTTTCATACTTCTTTTGGGTTGTGCTGAAAATCCCACCCCTTGAAATATTCTCAGTACATTTAATAAACTATACCAGAAATGACCAATCTGTTCAAACAGAGGTTGGGAAAGAAGAGGAGGAGAAAGCTATACACTTTATGTCCAGATTTATATTAACTAGGCTAAGACTGAGCAATGGTAATGATTCTGTCCCTGATCATAACTAGACACCATAAACAATTCTGAGTATTCTGTGGCTTTAATTGCATATATCCAGTTTTGCTTTGTTCTGTGTTTTTTTGTTGGGCTGGTTTTTTTTGCTTTGGATGCTGTGACTTGATGTAGGTAGCCATCTATGGTTTAAATGGGTACTTTAATTCCTCAGTCCTACAAAATCATGACTATTGTACTTATCACAATGGTATTGATTCAGCTGAACCAAATTTTCCATTTTACTCAAAGACTTTGAAATCCTTGGAGTTGCAATGCACAAGCGCTGTCCTTGAGAGACAAACTTATCTATTAAGTAATTTTCCCCCTCTTTTTATGTACCTCAAGTGCTGTGTATTCTCTGATAAAAGTTTAAACCCAAACTTTCATATTATCCAGCCTGACCCTCTGTATTTCACAGCCCAATATATTTCATTATATTTTATTCCATTAGGAAGCTCACATTATATGCAGAACAGGAGAGAAAATAAAGACAATACTGTAGAAATGCAACTCTGCTACACTACTTCCCAGCTAGCCAGTTTTTCTGTGATTTCCGAAACTGATATTCAACTAAGACATTCAAAACAAATAGCTGTAAATGAGAGACGAGTACCTACCACATGTTTTTCTTTTCTGAGTTCAGTTTCAAGAGCCACGAGATCTTTTAAAGTAAGACTGCAAAGGCAGAGCTTAACATCAAAACTAAAACAAAGATTAAAAAAGTGTTAATACCAATCTAAATGAAGGTTACATAACAGGGCAACACCACATCATAGTTTTGTTTAGCCACTGAATCTTCCTTTCCTCGCATTGCCCCAAAACAGCAGCCAAGTCACTACTACATTGCCTTCTTTCAGGTAATATGTCTCTACACAAAAGTAAACAAAACAAAACAAGTCTTTTAACAAAGTTGGAGTTGCAGTTCCCTTTAGAAAAAGGCAGGGTAAATATAGGCATGAGTGGCTACTCCAAAGCTTTAAATTAAAACAGCTATAAGGATTATAAATTTTGAAAATACTCTTCATCACTAGTGCCCTCCCCAGTCTCCATAGTGACACAACTATGATTTTCTTTGTTCTTGCTACTGAGAATACAGACACTTACGTATTCATCTAGGGGTACTTTGCCATGGGGCAGCTGAAAGAAAATCAGAGCTGACAGTCCATTTAGATTAGCTATACCCACTCAACAGTGGCACACCTGATAAAGGAACTGTTTTCCCACAATAAAATATGAGTAGCTCCTATTAAAACAAAGAGGACAGACCACTGCCCTTGCTGTTCTCAACACACCTCGTGTGTGACTTGATGCAGAGGACTCCATCCTCAGTCAAGCATGCCACTGCACTTGTGAACTGAGCATATGAGCCAAAACAAAGGGATCTCCTTATCCTACAGTGATACACATTTTATGAGACATCTTTTGCCAAAGTTCCAATTCCCAGAATTTTGTAAGGAACAAACTGACTTTCAATGTGCAGCATGATTTATTACTTTAATCTCCCCAACCACTTTTAGGCTTATGAGCAGATAATCCTGTCTTGATGTGAATACACTAGCTTGGTGAATACATCAGTCTTCGGTTTACACCAGACCTTTAGTGATTGTCCTGAGTACCGCTGGGACACACTAGGAAGTGACCAAACAATAGAGCAGGTTTACTGCTTACCTCTCGCATGTTAGTACTTCAGGGAAGCTGGTCACCTTGAGGAAGGCCCGAGCCTGAAATCTGTCATCACTTGTTGTGGAATGTATTGTTGTGGAGGAACTGCAGTCCTCTTTGTCTCCCTGGCTCAGCGATCCCAGACTGCCTGATGTAGATGTCTCCATGACCTGATTAGGTAGAACCGCCTGCTTTGGATTCTCATGCAAAGATGGATTGGATGAGCCATCTGCTAAAGGCTAAGTAAAAAAAAATTCACAAGGTCAATTAATATGATACAATAAGAAAATAAACATCTCATCAATTTGCAGTGTTTGTCTTCAAGCAAAAAATTAAACAATATACACAGCAAAAGTGTTTCCATATAAATTAAAATCTATCATACTGACGGGTTTCTGCATTGCCCAGGAAAGCACTCTTCTATTGTGGTTATTGGCATGGTGCATGTTTTCTTACTGAAGGACAAATCCTTGTAAGGTTCTTCATATGGCTTACTGGACAGACCCAACTTGCAAGGGAAGACATGGTTAATGTTAATGGTAAGAAAAGGTCTCTTGACTACAATGAAAATTGACCAGACATCATGTGAAGCACTACACGTTTCAGGGGGAGCTGAAAGCTGATGCCTCGCAGAATAACCCATCAGTCAATCGACTTTAAACAAAGAAAGATCTCTGTTAAGCAGATTGGCAGTAAGTTTTCTTCCATTACTTGACTCTGCAATTTACTCTGAAACAGATTGATTGTCATTAATTTTTACAAGGAGAATCTAAAACCTTACCCTAAATTTCTGATTGATGGGATAGATCACTTTTGCCTTTAATGCAAATGCCGTAACATTGCTGTTCAGAGGAGACTCACTTTCCTGTATGGAAAAGAACAGAAAACCATTGGGAACAGTGGCAGATCTGATGGTTGTTCACTGTAAGCACTGCATGCCTCTTTTGTATACACAACTTTCAAATTCCTATTAATAACTATTTATTGACTGTTTCTGCTTTGGCTCAAGAATTCTTCTCCTAAGGCTCATTCCGAGTATGAAACCAAGAAAAGGGAAAGGGAACTCTTGTCATTATCACTGCTCCAAAATGGTTTTACTTTGCAACAGAAAATAGGCAACAGCTAGTATTTACAAGTTATTTTCATTTTGTTCCCCTCTCCCCTCTTTAGCAGCAACTAAAGATTTCACAAGAGGCTGAAATTATCTTAATAATAGAAACTACTAAAAGATAAGCTCCACAGATATCATCATGGATATAAATCCTGTCTTTCAATTTAAATAAAGAAACAATAGATTAAATAAAACTAGTCATCATTTTTCCTAGGAAGAACTTTCATAGTACAAGCCTTACCTACAATCTAGAGAAAATACCAATGTTCTTCCAAAGAACTTTTTACAGATTATGCATTCTTTTCATACAATCTGCTATATCATGTAATCTGACTTTCTGCTTCTTCTCTTTCCTAGCTACTGCTTTATGCACTGGAACAATGGGATAATCAGCTTTGTTTTGTGAGGTTATGTATGGCTCAATAAAAGGTTGGCTGTAAGCAACAGATAGAATGTTTAAATCCAAGCTTTAGGCTATTTCCTATTCTAACTTCTTTGGGTTTGTCACATGAAATGAAAAGAATCTGATTCATCAAAACACAATTTTCTTTATATAGATTTTTTTCTAGGAAATATCAAAGCACTAACAGAGTCTACAAAATAGGAATGAGAAAAGTAAATTATGTCATTCATTGGACTTTCATCATTGCACCTTTTTCATCTTTATTTCATTCATTTCCAGAAGTAATTTTTGGATTTACTGATAAACTTACAAGCACGGGGTCAGCATGTAGAACACCTGCTCATACTGAGTAGCCCCACTGCCACAGTACATATTCAGGGACAGAACCCGACAAAGCTATTGCTCTGCAGTGGCTGGAGGCAGAGCAGCTCCAGTCCAAAGCCCCAAAGCTGTATTGCAATGTGCTAAAACTAACACATCCTGCTTCTCAGCAGGCACAGGTAATACCCTGGTATTATTAATATGGTAATTATGGTATTACTGCAATGTGAAAGGTCTCAGAATGAAAATACCTGTTTTTCTAAACTTAACTAAAAGCATTTTCCACCTATGCTTCTTCATGAATTGTCAATTTGATGCTAGAAACAGCAAAAGCCTCTGAGAATTGGAACAAATGAATAGAGAAAAAAAATCCTCAAACTTCAGTAGTTAGACAAATAGGTCTGGATTAAGTCCCTTCAAAATAACAAGGTTATTTCTTAATGTGTTATAAATGAGCTGATGTTTTTGGGAAATGGATATAGTTGTGAATTATCACATTTAAAAGACCATGATCCCATTTCAAAAAGACACAAAGCTGTATCATTGCACAAATTCTCCCACAGGATTTATACTCCAAAAGAGAATCTAATCCATGCTCACTTGTTATGCCTTACTTTAACTCAAGTAAAATGACCAACCATGATTTGTCACCACTCCTGATCACAAAACTGAAATGAAGGTTAATTACCTATCAGGATTTAAACCAACAGTAAAATGTTTACAATAGTGGCTATTTTCTCTTTGTCTTAAAACCAGTACTCACTACAAGCTAAGCACCAGACTGGCTGGCTTTAACCCACACTTTCTGCATGCATTTAATGTATGTATAACACATTTCAGCTTCACCAAGGGAAATCAGATCAGCTTTGGGTGAAAGGCAGTGATCTAATAACTTTGGGGTAGGACTGGTTCTCAAGGTATTTTGAGATTATATTAAAACAAAATATTTAAATTTTTGATTGAGGATGGGTTAAGTATATACTTTCTCCTACTTTTCTTTCCAAATGGTTTCTCTGACTGTCTTTGAATCCCAGCTCACCACAGTGATGTTTCAGTACTTGTGGTCATTTGAACTCTGCACTGTATCTCCAGCTGGTACCTGACAAGAGAACTTCCTCTCTGAGAAAGCCACTGAAGATGTTGCTGTTTGCAACCACACTCATTTTAGTTCATTTATTCTTTCTCCCTCCACTGGTTTACTCAGTCCAGCTGAGAGTTGGAGACTCTAAGGAGGCTCCTGAAAAAAAGATATTTGTTCCAGATTGAACCTGATGGGAATCCAGGATCAACTACCAGCACTGATTTCAGTACTGAAGAACTTTTTCTTACGTTGATACTGTTCTTTTCCCATCAGCCTTTTGAAATTAAGGACAATGTACAAACAAAACCAAAGGAGCCCCTGTCCAAAAAGAACTCAGGATCTTGATTAAAATATCAAAAGTCCCCTAAGAGAAATGGAATTCTTAAGGGGAAGGAGTACCTGAAATGGTTGTATTCATAAGCAGCCACCAACGCCCACCCTCCTTCTTAAACTTTTTCTGAACACTCTTTAAAAGCTCAATTCCAAACACGATAAAATTAAGACAGTTTGAACCAGGCCCTGAATGTGATCACTGCTACATGCAGCAAAATGGACATCCACCAAGAACAGAGCTTTACCTCCAGCACCATTTCCTCCTCTGATATATAGGGTTCTGCTTTACTTTTCGTGAGTGTGTGCTCTCTTTCATCAGAGCTGAAGCTTTCCAGAAGTCTCTGGGAATCATCCTTCTAGAATTTTGAGAGAGAACAGATAAAATACAACACTGAAATCATACAGATTCACTGGAAATATCTTTGACAGCAGCCTGGATATATTCATGTCTCCATCCTGAAAATTATTTCATTAGTTGGACATTTTGGAAAAATAAAATCTGAAAATGAATGAGAATTTTACATATTCAGGAAGGAATAATTAAAATTAATGAACTTTATGAATCTGTCAGTCCAGAAGTAGAATTTTAATCTGAGAAGTTGTAAGAAACCGCACGTGTCAAATCAATCCATCTGCTCTTAAAGCATCTTACTACAGACTATGGCGTTGAGCTCACAGTCCAAGTTCAAACTTCTCATTTCAAGCATGTTAACTAAAATTGCCTGTAGTTGCCTGCAATGAAGAGAACATTGAGTATTTTTGCTCCGCTGCTATGAGAAAAACGTCCTAAATGAAGTTTTATTTGTGGGAAAGTTCCTGTCAGGGACAATTAACCATTAGAAAATGTTCACCATTTTCCTTCCCCAAAAACAGCCTGTACCATTGGCCTTTACTTCCCTAACAAACAGAGTCGCTGGTACAGACAGCCTGTGCGGGAACAAAACCTTCTGCTGCACATGCTCTTCCCTGTGCACTAAACAGACCCCAAAATAATGCTAACATTGGTCAATGCATCCAAATACAGCATTGCAAGGAATTACTTAGAGAATGAAAAGAAGTTCACCAAATCTAGGTTAAGTGATAGGGACTTGTGGAAGTAGCCATGCTGAGTTCACGTTGTGTCTCACACTGTAGCCACTCCAAAGGAAAAGTTTGCTTTACTCAGCTTGTGTCTCCAAGAATTCATATTCATCCAGTATTCATTTTCACTCCTTTATCTCCAACACTGTAATTTTAAAAATATTTGAATTTTTCCAGGATTAACTTCTTTCTTTTTAACATTAATCTCCTTGCATTCCTCTCAATTTAGACTCATAGAATCACAGTCAGGGTTGGAAAGGACCTTAAGATCATCTAGTTCCAACCCGCCTGCCATGGGCAGGGACAGAACACACTAAACTATGTCGCCCAAGGCTCTGTCCAACCTGGCCTTGAACAGCTCCAGGGTTGGAGCATTCACAACTTCCTTGGGCAACCTATTCCAGTGCCTCACCACTCCCACAGTAAAGAACTGCTTCCTTATATCTAACCTAAACTTCCCTTTGTTTTTGTCCTCTGCTATTTTTGCAACCGAAGTGCTACTGAGCATTAAAAAGTTGAACAAAAATAAGTCTAACTGTAATTACTGCAACACTTCATCAAGCTAATCTACAACAGAAGCCTCCAGGCAACGCCATACTCTTAACAGGAGAATACCAATAGAAATGTATTGCAGTACACTACACAGTCTGCAGTTTCTTCTTAAAACTATCCCAAACTTCATAAAACTGTCCTATGCGCAGATGATCAAACCAGTAAGGCACTTAACTGCAAGCATAGAAGTCCCACAGATTCAGGCTGAGATTGTCAGAATAGTGATTAATTAGGGCTGAATGACAAACGCAGGAGGTTTACCACAGTACATATGGCTGCTTCAGATTCCAGGTACTTGCCCTGCTCCCACTGCAAGGACAACTCAGCTGCCTGGGAAGGTACATGGATACTTAGGTATCCCTGCTTTTACTCTGGATGCGGAAGGCTGTAAGATGTGCAGTTCAGTACTTGCTATACACTTGCCTCATCGGTGGGGCAGATACTGCAAAGAAGGAAGAGGCACAGACAGCCTAAGGTAGCACTGCTGGATTCAGGAAATCAGACCTATGGGATACAACCTGCCCACGCTGCAATGTGCTTCATGTGTGCCAGCCAGCAGTTTATTCTTCTTTCAAAATAAACAACTCTTGTGCAGCTGCAGCATTGATTTTAATGGCATTTAAGTACCTAAATGCATCTGAAGATCTGGGCCAGAGAGAACTGTCAGTTTCTATTCCCTATTGACATAAATGACATAAAGGGTAAAATTGTACATAGCTATATTTGAGTTGGTAGTGGCAGTACAATAAAGATACCACCTATTAAGGCAGGGAAGATAAGCAATTGAATCAGAGGCTTTCACTCGCACAGGGTGCATTGATCCAGCATTTGAAGTACCTCCATTACTCGGCTGAACCATGGCTTCAAACAGTTTCAAACCTCCTACTTAAAAGCAGTTGGGAGCAAAAGGATTTTTCTCTTATGTCACATTTAATGATGATCAACACTAGCAAATACGCACAGGCAGCAGCACTGTTACAGCTGAAAAATAAATGTGGTTAAAACCCAAGCCAAACCAGACATCCCACCGCAGGCTGGCAGAACGTTCCACAGGGCTCCAAATTTCACAGCTGCACCAGTGCCAACCACTGCTACTACATCCAGTCAATCCAGCATGATTTGGGACTAAATGCGATGGGGGAAAGAAGCAGAAGTCAATAACAATTCTCAGAAAATATATCTGCCTGCTAGTGTTCTGCGGGTATGTGCTGCCACTGCAATCCTCGAGTCCAAACATTCACTTTGTTTAATAAAGAGATACCAACTATTCACTACAGTCCTTAAACACCAAGGCAGGTATGTTATTAACAAAACCAGACGCTTTAGAAAACCCTGTTACTACTGTCAGATGTGTTCTGCCTCTTTTATTTCTCAGGTATGTATGTGTGTACCCTCAGTGCAAAGACACTGCTGGGGGTTAGTACTAATTCTCTGCTTGTGATGTTCGTAAAATGAACTTTGGACAGATTTGCAAAACGCTTTGGAAATCGGATTGTTTTTAATGGTTTAGTATGGAAATTTTTGTTTATTTTCAATTATCTCACCAAGTTTCTGCAAGCCACGCACATCTTCCATTATCCCCTAATAGCAGCACAGCCTTGTACAAGTAATGGCTAAGAGAGACAGTGGGCCACCCATGTTAAAGATACAGGCCAGTAGGGCAACACTGAGAACACAAATAGTTCACCAGCCCCTTTTTTGAGTCAGCCCGTTTGTTCAGGACATTGATGAAGCAAGCAGTAACATCCTTCCCAGCAGAGGTGTCAGGTCAGGAATCACCTCCCGCCGACTTCACTCCAACCCCACAGTCTCCGCTCTGGAGCCCTGTCC